ATCCAGGTCCCGATACCGCTTGCGGCGGTTCCGCCGGGACCCTGAGCCGACACCACCCCGCCTCCCTCTCGTTCTGGCTGACTCCGGGGTCGCCGCCGGACGAGAAGCGAACGTGTCCGTCCTTGAATGGTACACGAGGTACGCGCAACGTACACCCGTAGTGAAATCCGGCCAGTAGTGGTGATGACGCTCACTCACTTCGTCCGCCCGGGTCATCAACGAAACGAAGCCTCGGAGCGTCCAGGAAATCTGTGAAAGGCCTCGCTCGAGCGGATGTGGCGGGGCACTAGGCAAGTCGGGAGCGAGTCGCGCCAGGTACAATACGGTCTCACCAGACTGAAGAAACACGCGGTCGTGCACACTTACCTCGGCCATAAAGGCGCTCCCGATGGACCACGCCCACTCCTTAGCACAGCTGTCGCTCAACGGAGCGCGGGCGGGGTGACTGGGGTCGATGGCCGCATACCCGAAGTGCTTGAGAACGTAGGGCAGGAGCGGATGAATACCTAGAGAAGGGAAGGTCTCGCGAACCTGCCGAGGCAGCGAGGGGAAGTCCCCGGGCGAAAGCCCGTGCTCGAAGCAGGCCGACGGGAAGACGCCACCATCTTTTTCCGATGAGCGCCGATAAACGGACCAGTCCCGATGGGTCACGGCAATGCCGTGAGCGCGCATCAGCTTCGCCGCGGACTTCTGAAGGGCCACCCGCGGCTTCGTGTACGCGTACGGACACGGGTACACGTAGAGCCCCGGAATCTCGGCCAAGATAAAACGGGGCTGAATGTCCGGGTTGAATCCGGACAAGCAGGCCGCCAAACGATCGACTTATAGAACCTCCTTCAGGCCAAAGGCGAAGGTGCGATCACCCTGTATCGCGTCGGGGATTTGGTAAACCACGCCGTCTCATTCGGCAAGAAGTTGGCTGAGGGCCAGCGCGGATTGATCAGCGAGGCCGCCCTCGCTGATCTTGCGGATGCGGGACAGGTCAGGACGTAAGACAGGGCTTGCCAAGATCTCGCCCACCGTTACGCCCACGCGAGCGTGGCGCGCCCACGGATACCGGAGTTCACCAAGAGGAAGCGGGACGGGCCGCAAAAGAGGGACGCCGAACCAGCGCGTCGTGCTGGGAGCATCAACGTCGGTCGTTCTCGTGTTGGACCCGCGAAGAGGGAGGGCCTCTACTGCAGAGGGGACCGCGACGGCGGGGGCAACATCCCCCTCGAGACCAGTGAGGCGCGGAGCCTGCTGCCTGCCCTCATGCGGCGGGTGGACAACGCGGCTAGAGGTAGTCGCCAACTCCACGGATAGCGTCGACTCCCTCGACGGACGGGTCCGCTGAAAGGGTGACGTTGGCGCTGGTGTTGTGACACCCGCGTCAGGCAGAGGGGCATTCGATAACGAAAGCGAAGGCGCTTCCGCAGTGTCTTCTGGAGCTTCTGCAGTAACGGCTTGCGTCGGCGGTGATGATGGCTTCGGAGCCAGTGGCGACGACATGGCGAGACGCTGTCAGCCGGACCTAGCCTCGAGGTTTGAAGAACACGCCAAGGGCCCGCCCGATGGCAGCGCACGACGAAGGGATGGCGGGAAACAAAAAGGGGGGGACTACGAGCAGGGATAACAAGGCCCACGAAGGAGCGACACGGAGACACGCGACGGCGGAGGAGAGTGTACACCAGCGAAAAGAGGGGTTGAACAGAGGTATCGCGTGGGGGAGGGATGCAGATCGGGAAGAAGGACACAGACCGCCCTTCAAGCCCACGTGAACGCGGACGTTCCCTCTTGAGGGGGGGCCGTGTAGCATAACCCCGCCTGGGGGACTCACTTTAGACTAGATCACGATTGATTTAGTAACTATAGAGCCCGACGCTCTACAGTACCACCGAGCGTGTCCACGTGTGCCCCACAGCACACATGTACACGTGTACCAGACGCGTACGAAGCGCGCACACACGGGTACCACGTGTACTGTCAGCACCGAGGCTGACACCGTACAGTGCAGGGCGACCTGCGCTACAGTAGACCACTACAGTACCTCGGTACTGTAGTGTTATTATAGAGGTTTGTATATTAAATATGAGCGGACCGACGGCGGAGGGGAGAGGACAACCACGGGCTTGTCCAGAACCTACCACCTAGGTTTCGCCGGCTTATTCTAGACTACGTGAGCGACGTTCACGTCGGCCTAGTACGGAGCCCCGCGGGTAGTGGTCGCGCGCGGCGAGTAGGATCAGCCTCCGCCCGTCGTTACTGGATCGTTACCCAGTACCGCCCCGGGGCGTCGAGGCGTCGATCCGCCCGTACCCACGCGCGACCACCTCCGATCCCGCTCTACCACGCTACCCGGGCTCGCCCGGTTCCGATAGCCAGTAGTGCTTCCTTTCTCCGTCTTCCCCCGATCCGGGGTCTCCGTCGAGCTGTGAGCAAACACCCTTCTCCGTGAGGGTGTTTATGCTACAGAACCCATATGTCGTTGAGCAGCCCCCGACCTCGTTCGGACAAAGGTTGTCTTCTGAGGACTTTGACCAGTACTTCTCAAGTACAAAGCCTGCCCTACGCATCTGCATGTCTAAGTGTAGCCTTGGCGGAAGCAGTTGGTTAGAAGACGTTACTAAGTCGGCTATAAAGTTGTAAACGTCTATTTTCCAAAGCACGGAGCCCGCTGCGTGCTTAGAGACAAAGGATGACTTTCGGATGGCCAAAAGATCTCTGTTGTTACCACCAATTCGGGTAGTTGAAGGGTTGTCCTTCGCGATTAGTTCCTTTTCCTCAGAAGCAGTTAAAAGTATTCTCTTACCGTGTCTGAACAAATATGTCAGGACAAACATTTCCGTATTGTCAAATTGTGACGACATGCAGGGGGTCAGAGAGCCAACGTACGCATGGAACTGAGCCGAACGAATTAGTTAACGGCGACTTTGTCGCTTCTGCGCTTGATGCCACACTGAATTTTATAAACCGAACGAGCCAGCGATAATTCGGTGAAGACAGTTCGGCTACTGAGACGTTTGGAAGCTTACCAAAGCTTCCTTCAGTGATAATAAAGAGACAGTACGACAGCCGTACTGTCTTCTCACATCTGAAGCAGATAAATAGCCATTGGAATTACTCGGGATATTGTCGTCAAACTGTGACAGTTCTTCTATATCCTCTAAAGTATTCACATTGATCGAATTAATTCTCCATAGACGAGATGTTCCACGATAATCGTTGTCAAAAACACAGCCGCAATTCATGAAAACACATCCCTCAGAGTTGTTGGTTCTTTGTAGTCTCATTGCTCTTTCTTGCGGGAATCTGCTGTGGTTTAAATGCGCATAGCAGAGATGATGCCCGGAAGGGTCCCTCAAGAGCTCCTGAGCAGTTACGTTGTCACATTCGGAAAGTCGAATTAGCTCATCTGTAAATGCCGAACGAACAGCTTCCCCGTTAGAAATGAGATTGAACAGCGTCCAATCGCGCGTAGGCCTTCTTCTCCTATTTTCCCCACTACATACCTCTGCACGCTTCCACCGTACGCCCTGGATATTTCTATAACAAATGAAACAGCTGACGGTAGAATTTCTGAGAACATCGGGAGAACATCTTCTCTCCTAGAGCCGCAGGGCCTTTGACGCTGATTGGCACCATACCTCCTGGGATTACACAATACCTGCCATCCAGCGTTCTTGTCCCGGCAAGCAGTGCAGAGGTACGCAGCCGATTTTTCCGCTACATCAAAGGTAGCAAAGGGGTTCAGGGACGTCCCTGTGTCAGCTGCAGCCCTAGATCTTACCTGCTGTTCGTCGAGAAGTATTAGCAGGCTTGGTTTTCGTCTGTCTTGTGTTTGGTAGGCGAAGCAAGAGGGACATAACAACCCGTCATGCGCCCCTCCAGATGGCAACGGATCGGACGAAACGGGCTCCGCATGTACCATACTTGGCCGTTTTGCGCATTAACCAGCAGAAACCAGAAGAAAACTAAACTGACGAGCGCTTGAGGTATGTGGAGAGAGTGTCGCTTCTCGGGAAGAGATGGAAAATGCGAGCCGAAAGTCAAGGGTTGGTAGTACATCCGAAACTGTGGCCTTATGACCTCGCGGGACCTCGCGGAGGTCCATTTCTAACATAGCTAGTGTCAGCTCGGCATGGCCCAAAATTTATCATGACAGCCAAAATGTCAGATAAACCCCGGGTGGTCACTGACTGTACATTGCCCCTACGTATGTAGTGCCCATTGCGGATTATCAATTCATATGTGTCCTTGCACTTACTATACGGAACGGTCGTCTAATCCGCACACTTAAAGGATAGTGCTCCGCAATAAACAATGGTGGGAGGGGGAGCATCCACCCGGCTTGTGCCGCATCTTTTGCTTGGGCTTGGAGAGGTCAACTCTCCTCACGACTGCTCTATTATAGGCCCTCGATAGCCCCATCCCGTGGATATATCCAATCACGCCTCGAGGGCCCATCCGACAACAGTACAGTTGTCCAAGCACATTCAAAGCTCCCAAGCCACTCCGTTTTATTTTTTGCAATTGTTTTTAGGGTTTTCGCCCCCGATTTTTCCAAATCGAAGGCAAAAAAGCCCAATTGAGGCTCGAAATGTGTGTTTAAAGAGATACAAGTAATGCGGAGATTTTTGGCCACAGATATACTCCACTGGGTCACTTCTGCCAAGATCAGTATGTGCCTCTGCCTTACGCTGCTGGCATCCGCCACCGCCACTGCCAATCTTGTGGAGATCTCGCCCGCGCATGCCGGCGCATGCCGCAGTCGTTGTCCACCTACTACACGTGTAAGCCTGAAATCTACCGTATGCGTTAGGATATGTCTATGACAGACACACAGTGTTTTCAGGCACATCCCAACTAATATCCCTCCCTCCCCCCCCCCCCCAAGATATTTCCCCTCTTCCGCAACATGTCACCTTTCTCCTCACTTCCCTACTAGCTTTCCCCCACACCTCCTTTCAAGCTCTCCTTACCTTGCTCACCTTCCCCACCGTCCCACAATCTCCCTCATGATGCCTTCCCCAGCACCCCCCGTCCGCTCGTCGCCCTACAACTGCCCCATCTGCCTTGCCCCGCCCACCTCCTCCTTCGCGCCACCATGTCGCCATGTCTTCTGCTACGAATGTCTCACCACGCATCTGCAAACGCGCGCGGACTGCCCCATCTGCCACATCCCGGTCTCGCTGGACTCAATCTCGCCCGCGCTCCCGCCGTCGCTCCCACACGCCTCGACCCAGCTCTCGATGCCGCGCCTGCCCTCTCCGCGCACCCCGCCGCCGATGGCGACGCCGGACATGACGCCGCGCATGTCGTCGCGCCGCGTTGAACCGCCGCCGCTGCCGCGCCGCCCGCAGCCGTCCGCGCTGCCGTCCTCCGCCGACGCTGCCGAGCGCCGCGTGCGCGCCGAGCGCCGCGCCAGGGCCGCCTTGCAGGACCCGCCCGTCCCCATGCCGCCCCACCCGCCCTGGACAGAGACGGACGACTCGTCCTCGTCCCTCCCATCCCGCCGCCCGCCCCATCGCGCGCAGCATAGCGCCGTCGCGGAGATTATGAGCGCCGCCGTCCCGCTCGGCCCTGTTCAACCGTCACCGGAGTCGCTGCTCGCCGCGGGGGAGAACTTGAGCACCGAACAGCTCGCTGCGGTTATCGCGAGTCTGAATCAGAAGTTGCAGGAGAAGGAGGGCTCTGAGCGAAGGGTTGAGACGGATTTACTACTAGACTTTCTCAAGCACACAAAGCAGGAGAAGGTTAGGACTATCGAGACCCTGCGCGGGGAGGTATCCTTGCTTGAGGCTGACGTGCACGAGGCGGAACGGCAAAAAGCGAAATTGCGCCCAGAGATGTCAAGCACTACCAGTACCATGTTAGATAAGAGGGAGGGCGCCCAAAGGGAGGAGAGGGACCAGCCGCTGCCACCGACTCGTCCGGAAGATGTCGAGTTGGGAAAGAAGCGGAAGAGAATGCAGAAAAATTATGACGTCCTGCAAGAGCACTACTTTCAGACTGTCGCGCGCCACTCGGGTGAGGAGAGAAGGAGGGCTTTGCGCACATTCTCGGATGACATTTTTAAGCTGACGCAGTATTCGCGGCTAAGGGATCGCGCGACATTGATGCATGTAGCTCGTGTGCCGGATGCACCGTGCAACGATGTTTTCAAGGCCTCCAATATCATCAGTTCGATCGAGTTTGATCGTGAATCAGAGTTTCTGGCCACAGCGGGCGTTACCAAGCGCATAAAGATATTCGAATTTTCGAATATCGAGAGGAACAGGGTGGATGTGCACTATCCAGTACGTGAGATCCCGACGACGGCCAAGCTTAGCTGGGTTTGCTGGAACCCGTATATTCGACATCATCTTGTTTCTTCGGACTACGAGGGTTTCGTCACATTGTGGGACGTCAACCGTGGCGTTTCAATTCGCGAGTATGAGGAACACGAAAATCGCGCATGGAGCGTTGACTACTGTCCAACACAGCCCACGCTGTTCGCGTCCGGTTCTGATGACGGGCGCGTCAAGCTATGGCACACCTCGCAGAGTGGAAGCTTGCTCACAATTGACAACCGCCCGGCAAACGTATGCTCCGTCAAATTCCACCCCCAGGAGGCCAACAAGATCGCGTTTGGCTCAGTGGACTTCAAAACTCATTACTACGACTTAAGAAATCCAAGCGAGGAACTACACGTCTTCGAGTCGCACACACGCGCTGTCAGTTACGTAAAGTTCATGTCACCTACAGAGCTGGTGACGGCATCGGTGGACTCCACGATTAAGCTTTGGGACTTAAAGACAATGTCGCTGTCGCGGACGTTCTCTGGTCACGTGAATGACAAGAATTTTGTCGGATTGAGCGTCACACCAGACTACATTGCATGCGGTTCAGAGGAAAACACTGCGTACTGTTACTACAAGGCCATTCCAAAACCGTTCACTGGCTACCGCTTCTCGACAGTAGACCCTCTTACTGGTGAAGAGACGCACGATGATGACGACTCGCAGTTTGTCTCTAGCGTCTGCTGGTGTCCTAAAAACCCTGAGTTGCTCGTCGCCGCCAACAGCCTGGGGGCGCTGAAGGTACTGGCTCTAGAATCATTGGAGAGCGGCAGCGCCAGACACCCCTCACGGTGACATAATGGAAAAATGTACGTTGTTGTCAACAGGCGTTAATACCACCGTGCGAGGCCTCCTGTTTGACTGGCTGAATGTATATATCCGTTAACATACCACTCACGGGATTGGATCATTACTGATCCCTGCAAATGAATATGAATAAAAGACTGTTTAACAACATGCGAAGTCACGTCTACGTGTCGCAATATGCGGGTCATTCAAGACCAGAACGAAACTGAAATGCTACCCCCGAAGCGTCGATCTCCAAGTGTGTCAACCACACACTCAACGGAACAGACCCCTATCCATTGCTGGGGGTGATGAAATGAAGCTCTGAGTACGCCGGTACTGGAGAGAGCCCTACCAACGTTTCATACAAGCAAAGCTCTTCTGCAGTGCGACTGTGCATCTGGTTCAATCGGCAATGGTGCAGCCCCGCGAGAACAAGTCAAAAGGACTCCTTCTTCGAGTCAATGGAAGAGGTCTTCGACAGGGACAGGGCGGGAATGCTGCCGCCGAATGCATCGTGTGGTGCTGAAGACACATCGCACGCAAAGGAATCTCGGCAAGCACTCGCTCCTCTCACGAACCTCCCCATTTGTCCAAACAACGCATGGATCACGGCACTCTTACTCTCACGATAGTGCAAACAAGCATGTGCTTTGCTCCTGCAATTGTAGATATGGGTTTGCGGGCTATTCAGAGAGGAGCAACAGAGGTCGAAAGCCGTTAGGAACTGCGCACGTTGATATTTTTACGCTTGCTTTTGTTTCTTGGGGAGCTCTGGGAAATAGTTTTTCATGACCGAGTACAGTAAAACACCAAGCAAGGCGATGGCGGATCCCATTGCGTTGGCTTTTGTGACCGGGTTTTGGAATACGAATACGGAAGTGACAATAATGACGACGCGCTTGACGGTATTCGCGACAGCGTGAGTGATGGGATGAACGGAGTCAAGGGCCTTGAAAGCAACTTCCTGGTACAAGTAGAAGAACAGGCCCGAAATGAGAAGACCCGCAATAAGCTTGGGAGCGGCGACGACAGCAGTGGCACCAACTGTGGCCTTTTTCCAAGCCGCTATAAGCTTCGCAGGGTGGTCGATGATTAGTGCGACCGGGGCGAGTAACAGGGTGGACATGACGGAGAGGACGGCGAAAAGGTTTGCCGGGCCCATGTTCTCTCCCTTTGGCTTGTTCATAGAAAGCTTTGAGAAAATGTTTCGGGCTGTGAAAGCGAAATTGGAAGTCATCGCGGAGAGGAAGCCCAGCCATGTGAACGAGACCTCAGAGACAGAGGCCATGACGACACCCGCGACGACGGGCAAAAGGGAGAGATAGACAGGTAAAGGGAAGAAGCTCTGCAAGAAGACACCCGACCCGACGACATTGACAAAGGGTTCCATACTCTTGACGACGTGGGTGAAGGAGACGGCAACGGCGCCGAGTGAGACGACGGTGGACACATGGCCGATGACGTGGCCAACGGAGATGGGGAGAAGGGTTTTGAGGGCCTCCTTCGGCACGACGGGGGCTTTCCGCAGGCGGAGCCCCCAGAGCGGGAGGACGTAGAGCACGCCGACGAGGAGCTGAAACCAGGAGACAAACCAGGGGAGTGGGAACCAGTTGAGGACCTTTTTGTTGGAGATGTTGTAAACGATGTTGAAGGCGTACCAGAGGAAGATGTAGAAGCCGACCTTCAAGGTACTGGTCTTCTTCTCCGGGGCCGGGACGGGGGCCGGGACAGGGGCCGAGACATCCGAGGCGGAGGCGGATAAACGGAAGGGGGTGCTGGAAATTCGGGGAAGGAGGGGGGGAGAGGCCGAGTAGTTTGGTCTAGCGGGGAGGAAGGTTGAGCGGAGATGGAGGGCGGAGGGTGGTGCAGGGGAGAGAGAGGCAGCGGGGCGGGCGGCGAGCGGCCTCGGGAGGAGGGCCGGGATGAAAGCGACGGGCATTGCGATCGCGTAGTTGCGGGAAGGGGGATGGGAAGGGGGGTGGGAAGGGGGGTGAGAGGATGGTTTTTGGGAGCGGGGAAAGATGGAGGAGGTTTGAAGGGAAGGGGTGGTGAATGGGAGGCTATTAAAATGAGGGAGCGAGCAGGAGGGCAGCGGAGCTTCGGTGGCCACAAAGGGAAGGAATGTTTTCTTGCGGGAAAAATTTGCAATGAGCACTTTCAAGACCAATTGCGTGCTCGTTGGAGCTCAGATCCGATCGAGTTGGGCGCTGATCTCCGCGTCGAAACACCTCCCCGTGTCCACGTGGGCGTCGTGTCCACCCGGATAAATGCTGACCACAAGCACCGCCCATGTGCGCTGTACGCCCGCGTGTACTGTACGCCGCCCCGGGTCCATACTGCCGGATTCGCCCGCCCCACCTCGGGCCGAATCTTTTTGCATTCCGTTTGCATTTCCCGCGGAGCCCCCCACAACGCCATCCGCAGGGGCCAACGCGTCGCGAATTAGAAGGCCGCATGCATCTTTCCCTCGACCTTGCCGCCAAATATCTCACAGCCACCTCACACGCAACGAGGCAACGCCACTAGACGTCGACACTGCTGCCCGGTTTCCTTGACCTGCGGGTGACATACTTGTACAGTAGTCTGGCACGACAGCCTGAATCCTGGAGTGTGCTTTACCAATTGCACGCTGTCCGAAAACAGCTGTGAATCACAGAATCCTCGTGCTGGAAAAAGCACAGTCGCGACACAACTCAGTTTAACTTTGAGTGCCAACCATTCGCTAACGTCGATTTCCTAGATGTCGACGTTTGTGGGCCAAGTGCACCCCAAATACTTGGGGTCAGAGTTGTGAGAGCCGCGGCAAAACATGAAGGAATCCTACGGTAGACCTACTGTATAGATGATCAAGCCATCAAGGATGCCTGGGCGGGGTGAAGGCACTGTGCCACACGCTACGTTACACATGTTTTATTCAATGACTATTGTTGCGAATGCTATCTCATATCGACAGATATCTAGGGACAAGTGTCACGCTTGGACTGGATATGTTAAGTCTGTGATGTGGGATGGCATACGTGCTAGGATGGCAGTGGCAAATGATGACCAGATAGCATAGCTAATGCGTTGTTGTAGACGCAACTTCACGGTGCCATATGCACAATGGCTGCCGTAGGAAATCTTGAGGGCAAGGGCTTCGATGATATTCATCGTGTTGGCGGAGCAAGCTCCCAGCTTGTCGAAGGAAAGGGGAGCGAAGTGCCAGTCGAGGGCGGGGATCTCCGCATCATTTGGAAGTTGCAATTGCACAGGGTACAATGCCATGGTACTGTACAGTATCTATGCGACGTGTTCAGTGTTTCATTCGGTCGAAACAAATCAGATCGCCTGGGCTGCTTAACAAACCCGTCAGCGCACCACAGATCGATCGACTGGGCTGCTTAACAAACCCCTCCGCGCACTGCACCATAGCCGCCACGGTACTGAGTCGAAAGCCCAATCTTTGCCCCCCCCCCCCCCCCCCCCCTGCCCGGTCAGTGGCTCGGCCGAGCGTGAAAAGCGCGGGGTACATGTGACCAACCGCGGCCACCCGATCTTTTTCCTATGCTTTCTGCCGAAAACGCCAAATTCCGTATTCAACTCGCAGCAAACCGGTACAGGTACTGTACCCTCAAACACACACAATATAACCAAAAAATCATATTCACAGTGCATCGAGCACTCGAACAGGGAGTGAGACCCATGCTGCTTGCTCCAAGTGACATTTCTCTCACTAACTCCCCCAAACGCATCTCAAAAGCGTCGAAATACACGACTCATCCGCTTCTTTTCGCCTTTCGACAACCCACCACCATGCCACCGCGAGCATCTCCAGCCCCGGCGCCCGATACGAGGACACCTTCCAGTGTCACAAAAAGGCAATCTCCCTCGTCTATCCTCCCACCCACAATCTCCTCCACCTATATTGATTTTGAGTACTCTGTTCACAATTGCCCGAGGCAGGTCCTCCGGGACATCCCAATCATATTCCCGGACCTACGTTCTCGCCCTACAGCCACCGTCCTATTGATACCTACCGTGCAGCGCGCCTCTGTCGACCTCGTTACATACGGCGATGAACAGGCCGTAGAGAAAGATCGCCTCCTCGCCCGCTTTGTAGATTGGGCTACTAAAGTACGCTCGGCCGTCGCTCGTCTACAGCCAGACGCATGGACTGATATCACAGACCCGGCTTCCGGTGTTGCTTATTTTGGAACTGCAGGGGCGTGTTATAGCGATGTCGAGGGGATCGTGAAGACCAGAAAACTCAGCACCATCGATTGCGGCGGCTGCAGAGTCGCCAAGCACCCCGAATGGGGGTTTGCAATGTACCCAGGTACGTTTGCTGGCAACCCTGTTCCCACCTTCACGAAATTAACGAATCGCTCCTACTGTCCGCAGCTAACCTCCCCCTTACTTTCCTATTTTCCTTGTCGAGGGTACGTAGCTACCTTATTCTCCACAGCGAACAATGAAATCATTAAAGCTGCTCTGGAAGATGTCAACGGGCAAAACACCGTGTCCAAGGGATAGTCACTAGACTGTTCTGAACGCATCGATTCTAAATGCAGCATGATAGCAGAATTGCAAGTTATCCAGCAATTACAGACGCAGAATTGAAGCACGGAGCCATTGTCCATCTATATCCTGTTCCTACCTCACTATGCACGTACGGTATGATTAAAGTCAGTAATTAAGCTTCTAAATCAGCTGCTACATTTCGTCAACAAAATTCCTATCTTCGTTGCCTTCTCTATTTGCAATCGGTGTATTCTATGCAAGTCTAGTTACCTTTTCGACGAGACCAATACCTGTGAACTTGTGAAGTCGCACACCTGCATCATTCACATGACGAAAATATTGTGAAGAGGCGGTGTGTCCGGGTTCCCAAACTTCACAGGTACTGTATTTCAGTAGGAGCAATCGCAAAAAGATAGGTCCATTCCTAGCGTTTTCTGTTGCTTGCCTCGAATTCCAGGGACGGCATTTCTGACTCCATTGGGCAAGGTACGCCCCTCGTTGTCGTTGCCAAAAAAAATCTGCCCCACATTCCCTTTCAAGTGAATATAGATTTAGGACCGCACTCCCTTTGGACTCCAGTTCCTCTTGCTTCTAAGACCTCGCCATGGTTGCCTTCACATGTCACCAAGAGGGGCAATCGGCTCGCAATCCATCATACTACCCTCGCTTTCGCTGAGCGAAAGGTACCAGCTATTCTCAAGCTGATCATCTTCATAGCCCGTCAATGTTCGGTCAAAACCTTTTCCCAATGATGTTCGTTTTCTCGTAGTGATTCCATCGTGTACATCTCTTAAGAAATCCACCCAGACCTGGCCCGCACCTTCCGTTTCTCTTTCCAATTTTTTTGCTCGTTGTTGCACTGCTCGTTCTGTACGCGAGTACCCCTTTTCTTCAAACCACAGCACGACGTCGCCCCAACTGCCACCGGTTACACTTCTCTTTGCAATGAGGCGGAGTAAGGCCTGGTCTTCATCTGTCAACCAGGGACGCGGCGCACCTGAAACACGAGTGTTAGCCGAGATACGAGATCGGGCGATGCGTCTGGGTCCTGAACCTCGCGATGGAGATTTGCGCTCTTCTTCGTTTCGCAAATGAGGCGGTCCAGTTTCCACTGGGGGTGCTGGAAACAAATGCGATTCCCGAGGTGTAGATGCGGAGTGAGGATTGCCCACGTCATCGCGTTGCGGGCGAATGGGCACACCCCTGCGAATAGCCAATGCTCGAACCATTCTCATATTTTTCTCATCTGGCAGTCGGCGACGGAGCTTCACCAAGACGCTGTCGCCGTTAAATATTTCTTCGCCGTCGCGCAACTGTGTATCTGAGCGCCGTGCGAGCTCCCCAAACGATTGCCGCGAGGGAGATGTTATGGTTTCTTGCTGACCGGAGCCAGGCAAGCATCTATCACTGTCACACACGTCCCTCTCCCATCTCAGAAGCTCGTTTTGACTGCTTGAGGGCGGTTCTAACCGTTTCTTCTGATGGTCACCTTGGCAAGTCCTCAATCGAGAAAATTTTTCATGTTTTGCTATACGAGCGGACTCTTTTTGTGTCTGTTGTTTAGGCCATTCGAATGCCTTGCGGACTCTTTTTGTTTGAAGCCTTGTGGGCTTAGCAATGGCAGTCTTGCTGAGGCCTTCGCCAGAAATTTCTGTCTCCGCTGGAGTTTCCCTCTTCAGTTTGGTAGGCTGACCCTCATATTCAACATGTGTCTTGTCTCCTATTTCATGGTTTGATGGCCGCTCCTGCAGCCATTCTATTGTCTTTCGGATAGCTATTGCTTTGAGCTGCTTATGATTTGCAATGTTGCCCTTTCTCAAAGCTTCTGTAGCAGCATCCTTTTCGTGTTCCAGCTCGCTCCCCTGATGAGTATTTTCCTTCCCAGAATCAGACTTTGCCCTGTCTCTTGCTTCATGCCCTTGTGACCCCTCCTGCGGCCATTCCATAGTCTCTCGGACAGCAAATGATCTGGGCCTTTTGTACTGTGAAGTTTCGCTCTTCTTCAAACCGTTTGTAGCGTGATCCTTCCCTTGGTCCAGCTCGCTCCCAAATATGACATCTTTTTTGCCAGAAACGGCATGTGCGATGTTTCCTGGCTCTCGGCTTGACGGCCATTGCGGTGACCAGTCCATACTTTTTCGGGTAGCCCCCATCTGAGGCTTGGCAATCCTTGTGTGGCTACAGCTAGCAGTGTGCGCGTTCTTCCCTTGTTGCAGATTGCTCCTTTGCCCGGCGGTCTTTTTTTGAAAAGAAACTTTTGCATCTTTTTTTTCCTCATCTAAAGCTCGAGCTTTTGAGCTTTCTTCCTGGTCGGACTTTGCGATATTGCTCTCGCACTGTTCTCTTTTCTCATGCCTTGTTTCTGACTTGACATGGTCCATATTCTTGAAATCGTCCTGACAGGCTGTCGTTCTAACTAGTATATTACCAGGCTCCGCTCTCCCCCCTGCGCGCTTCTTCATCTCTTTGAAATTGTGCACCGGGATAGAAATTTGAAACGGGTTAGTCTTAATGATGCCATCCATAGCACCAAGCCTTGCGTTTCCATGTATGCGCTCCTGAAAGGAGCTGTCCTCGGTGTATCCTTGTTGCCCTTCCAAACCGTGGCGGCTTGCCTCTGCGGCCAAAACGTCCGAATTCTCTCCTATGCCTCTCGAATGCTCCTTTTCGGCAGGACTTCTGTTTTCACCATTGGTTTCCTTTTTCTGAGATTTTACAAATGTCCCATCTGCTCTTGCTTTCAACGCGGCTGCCCTCTCCTTGCATGCAACTATTGACCGAGGGAACGACTTAACATGCATCCAAATGCTAACATTCGCCCAATCGCCATTAATGCGTTCCCGATCCTGTATGCACTCCACCAGTTTCCTGTCTTCTGCTTCCGTCCATGGTCTGTTTGGGATACAGCCCCGTGAGGAGGTGACTTCAAGCCTCTGGTTTGCGATTTTGTTACGAGTGGCTTCAGAGCAAGCCGTGGACAACGTCCTCGGGCGGACAGGGGCCGACAGAGGCTTTTCAACATTCTCTTTGTTCGAAGCTCGGGCTCTACCCCCATCACGGTTCCCTCTCATATCGAAAGCTTTCTCCTTACCATTGCGCACTATCTCCCGTTTCTCCTCCAATGCACTGCTACTCCTCCTCAACCCTGCTAAGGGCGATTGCAGTTCTGGCTGTGTGGACACCGCAGATAGGGGGACTTCCAGAGATCTTGGTTTTTCTTCTGTCTCGAGTTGCTTCTTTAATGAGCAACTACTCTTCTTCAATCCTGGTACAGGCGATCGCTGTTCTGGCGGTGTGCGCAGTGCAGCTGGGGGCCGTTCTCCGATTTCTTGGTGCTTGTTAGTCGATGATCCATTCTGGGGCATTCCCCGTGACTCAAGCCCGCTGTCTCGGCTACTTTTAATATCTTGCACGTCGCTTCTCGGCTCGCCTCTGCCTACATCTTCGACAGGACGGGGGGCATGGTGACGCGTAAGCAGCTCCACCCAACTAATACCAAGAGCTTTCGCATTGCCCTTGACTCTTGTCATGCGCTGCAGACAGGCACTGGAGCTTCGCTGGAATCCACAGGCGGTCATCCACTTCGTGACATCATTCCAGTCACCTCCATCGAATTCCTTCCTAGCCAAGCATGAAAGTAGGGCATATTCCTCGTCCGCGGTCCACGATCTCCTGGGCGTCGATCGATTTGGAAGCCGAGCAGGCGTTTCCGCTGGGTTGATACTGCTCGTGATCCTACGGGCGCGTACCGCACATGCTGCAGCGTTGCGACCATATCCCTCGGCCTCCATGTAGCGAGAAACGTCTTCCCAAACAAGCGGGATACTTGGTGAAAGACTTGACATGTAGTCGAGCATGAGAGCGTCCTCTTGTTTTGACCAACGAAGCCTCGGTGCTCTGTCAATGCCACCAGACCGAGGAGTGTACATACATCTACGTGCAACTAAACGCGGAAAGACTGACTTTGGAGTAATCTTGCCCGAACCCGAGCCTTCACTGTCGGTCTTGTGGACCTGCAAACGGTCCTCGGGACCCTCACGGGATACCACACTTGCCCCAGCTCCCCAAAGAACGCGCCCTGACAACTCTTTCACCCCGCCTCCCACGAGACGACTACGGCCCTGATCAAAACCTTCCCTGACTACGTCCACATTTTGGTGTTCACTACGTTGCTCCACCACAGTTCCCGAGCCCACTTGTCGCCCACCGTTCCCCCGTGCTTCCGCTGTAGATACGAAAGACTCCCCCTTCGTTCTCTCTTCGGGAGTCGCATTATACGGTGATGTCAAAACAGGCGGTGACTGCTGCTCATGTGAGGGCGGGCTATCTATCTCGGACCCAATTCGGTCTCTTATCCCCTGCTGCTGCGGCGCTACTCCATCCCCGACCGGTGAGGAAACGCTAATCGGGGAACGTTCCTCTTTGCGGTTCGAGTCGACCCTCCTCCGCTTCGACGTTAAGTCGCTACAGGATGTATCCTGTTTCCTTCCCTCCCGCCTCTCGCACACGTCTGATGACACAGCGGTCTCCTCCCCATGCTCGAGAAACCGTGCGCGCTTCCTGCACGCGGCCAAATGCTTTGGGCGAACGAAGCCGCTGCGCGCCATGCTCCGAGCGACCGACGCCCATAGCGTGACCCCGAGTACTGTGCGTTGGCGAACGCAGGATAGCAAGGCGACGTCCTCGGCCGGTGTCCAGGGTATGTCGGGATGGGAGGGGTTGGGGGTGGAGCGCTTACGCAAGGGGATAGGCATGGGCGGGGATGGCGGCGGCATTGAGAACGGCCAAATGGGAACAAAGGGCAACGGCAGGAGTGACGGGCTTGCACTGCACACCGACGGGACGGGACATGTTTAATAGACGGAGGAGAGTGTGTGTGACAATCGAAAGGAAAACAGGCGTTTTGGAGAGGGGCGAGATTTGACAGCGTTAATTTGTGGACACGTGTCGACCCTTGTAGAGATGTGTACAGTAGTAAGGAGGACAGTAGACAGAGTCAACGAGGTTACAGATTGGGCCAATAGGGCCCAATTGTGTGGTCCGGTCCACTGGCCGAATTCCACCTTATCCTTTCCACGGGAAGTGACTGGTCTCTGGCATGTAGAGCATTGATATACGGCAAGACACTACTACTGTACGAGCCTCATGTCTAACCATGCTTGTACCACGTAACCACGTTACAGAACTCTTTTGACCAGGACCGTTATTTCACATCTGGAAGTTGTAGGAACGCTTTCTCCTACCCTTCAAGCTGGAGTCAGGACACCTCCGTTAGGTACCCTTTTCATTTCATTTCACATTGATGTATACTACTTGCAACTCTATTCATGGCTTAGATGTCAATGTAGCAACAAAGCAGAAAATATCCGCCACGTTCTGCAGTTTTCCGAAACACTTCTTAAGTCTGTCATTCAAAAACATGACTTGTGGTTGTGCGTTCACTGCAGTGCGCTCCTTAACAGTCATGTCTCCAAGCCTATTAAATATGAAGGGATAACTTTCAAAGGATGACGTCTAGATACCACGATGTATGCATCGCTTCTTTTCTATCAAGAAATTGATGAGGACTCAAAGCTTCTGCATTCTCAAAATAAGGAAAGCAGCAAAAAAAAACAAAAGTGAAATGGTTGCATTACGCAGTATCAACGTCTGTCTGTTCCTAATCCATTCATCGTAGCCCATCCCGCGGCAACCTGATTTGGGTCACTAAACTCAAAGGCTATAATGGCACCGTCTTATATTGCCAACGCCATTTCACCGTCTTCCCACCCCCACCCCCACCCCCCACCCCCCTCTACCATACGATCCAGCCTACTAAGACTAATTTCTCTTTGCCTTCTATCCATCTTCCTGATGGGTCTGAAGAACCTTGTCAGTTTCCGTCTACCCCCGCTTGCTCCAGTCCTTTCTCCCGACTCATCCTGACTCCAATCGCATCCTCTCCCCGTCATGTAATCCGAGGAGTTGAAGACACTTGCTTGAACTTCTATGACTGCGGTCCTTAAGTCATCATTTGGGTCGGACGATTCGCCAGCGGGAGCAGTCTCTCTCAGGGCGATAAAAGGAGCAGAAGTAAGGTCACTGTTATCAGAAACAGACCATGCACCCCTTTCAGTTGATATGGAATTCCCTTCTATTTTCTTATCAAGAGGCAATTCGGATGGTCCTTCGTGAATGCTTCCCATCTGCGATAGTAAAATACCTTCGCTTTGCGTCGAAGGTGCTTGCGGGTTGGAGCTTGTTGACCCCACGGCATGCTCCATGCCGCTGAATTATCTATACTGGATCGATTGGTATTGGGCATAACGTAGCAAATTTAGGGGCCTCTGACGAGGGTGGCCCATTCCGCTTGGGAGAGTCGTTATCCTAATTCCGGGGGCCGTGGGTACCCCATTTTCTCTCATCAAGAGAATTGCCCTTGAATTCATCGGAAACTGAGCGACTCAAACGAAAGTAGCATGACCCTTCCACGGTCCGCTGGGGATTGGATCTCTTCTAGCACTCACAATAACAACATGAATGACCACAAATGAAATGAGAAATATCGATCCTGTTACAAAAAGAGTATGTAATAAATGTAGCGAACCTGAAACAGAATCAGGAAGTGTATCTCGAAATTATTGCATCACTCTGTCAGGAAAAAGTTCGGAGAAGAATTAAAATAGTTTATACACGTCAATGAAGTGTGACTGAATAGCGTTCTTCTTTAGTCTGCGACAGCACTGGGTCCCAATTCCGGTCGTCTGAGACAATGAGAGATCTTACTGCCTCTCATGTATTCACCAAAGGGCGGCAAACTAACCATGCAGATGCCCATGAGGAGGCTAGCTACAAAATAAGGTGTGATTGAGATAAATTTTGTGGGGGGTGATACTGTGTTTGGCAAGGTCCTAATAGAGTAGTTTTTTCAAGGTAACTTGTCAGCGTGTTTCCTTCACATTTTTGATTGTTGGGTGACACGTACCCAACCAACCGTAGTGACAACATAGCCCTATGCATTGTTTCTGTATTACTGTAGTTCGTCAGCAGGGTGTACGGTATAACACCGTAACTCAAACGCAATTGTTTAATGCCTAGCACGGTATCTAAATGGTGGTGGGGCGCGGAAGAAGAGCGATTGAAAATATGAGCCACGTGTTGTATATTATTCCAAGAGAATGGCACTTCATCCCACATGGAGCCGTATCGGCAAGACATACACATACCGTGCAACGCATACGGTACGCACTGTATCTAAATTATGTGTTCTATAGAGCCGGGGATGTATCATTGACGTAGAGACACGTCATAGCGAGATGCCGTAAAGTTTTGACATATAGTAGCCGATCGATTATTAAGCGTTTGGGTCCTCTTTCGGGAACGTCGTGCCATGCAGAGAAGCAAGAGGGAAGTGCACAAACAATACTCATCATATTCTCAGACCTACCCTTTCCGGTACATTTCGAGAGCTACTCAGCACAACTGATGCTAAGCAATCGGCCATAGGCTAATGAAACAAAGGGAGCGTGAATGACTTGAACGGACAAGTAATCTAATAGAGCGCCATGTCCAGTTTCAGCCGTATCGAGAAGTGTCTTTGATGGAGTCAGACGTTTCATGATGTTCACATGGAGATATCACTCTGTTTTCCATATGGCGTTTCAAAGTCTTGAACAGCACATGCGCTTCTCCGTACGTGTACTGCTTGTGAGCCCAACATAATTGATGTACTCGCGGGTAAACTTTACTGGTTTCTCTTTGGGGCGTGTATGGGAATGGAAGGCTCTGTATCCATTCCGCTACTGATCACTCCCCTTAAGAGACATTGTACGCATCCAGGTAGGCAAGCCATACTGGTTCGTTCCTCGCTGTAGATAAGTGAAGATATTCGTAGTTTATTGGTTCTAGTCGGTCACGAGACATCGGTTAAGAGGGGACACACAAAGGCTACGCAAACCATTAAACCGAACTGGAAAACATAAAGAAAACATAAAGAAACATAAAGAGAAAAAGACATGATGAGAAAGGAAACTACCAAGAGGGCGGCGCAGCCGGGGCTGGGCGGGCAAGAGAAATAGACATGGCCAGGAGAGGGGGGCTGGCAAGAGGCTCACGATGGCGCCATAAGTACCACGGAGCAGCGAGACTGCGAGGTGAGGTACGCTCGGTTGGCTGATAGTAATTACAGCCACTCGCTATTCTCCGGGGAGTTTCACCCCTATACACGCTAGCCTGTACAGAGACGCGTACCTCTGCATATGCGTGTCCATCACATGTACTGTACGATGCCATTAGTACTGTAAATGTCGTTAATTGTGACTTTTTGGTCACGGGTGACCTCTGGGAAACCCCGGGGACAGGTTCGCTAAATGTGCTGTATGACACGGTTCTGTACGCACAGTATATACTGTATATACAAACATTTGTAATCCAACTAGAGTCACAATTTCAGGAAAGTCCCCTTTTTGGTGTCCTCAGGTTCAGGTTGAGTGCTGCAACAAAGTGAAACTAAATGAGATGCCGGTACAGTAAGCCATTTATTTCAGGAAAGTTGCATGCAGTGTGTCCTACAGAAGAGTGCTCCAGAAGGTCGACTTACAGTTTATGTGATGCTGGCGAGCCCGACGCTGGATCGCGCATACTGGTGGGTACCCGAGGGTACTGTAGTCAACAATCAGCCATCATGAAGGAATTACACTGCTGTACTCTGCACATAAATCACAAGTTGTGATGTGAAATCCACTAGAGGTTGTGATTCGCAACCACGTTGTGATTCACGACCTAGTGGATTTCATGGTGCTAGCTATGGCCCTCGCTAGCTAGGCTGTACAGTAACTGTTGCGAAAGGAAGTTTGCTTGGTACAAAACTGCAGTACCCTCTGATGTTTCGCCAGTCAAGAATCTACCTCTCTTCTGCTTCATGATTTCAACAGCAGTCGTCAGTGCTCGACGCTTTCTCGCTCAAATATGCTCATGAAGGTACGCTTTTAGTGATATGTGCCTCAATATGACCGTCGCGCTTCCTCAATGACAACTCTTGTCGCAAAACATTCCGTGAGTAAATGACGCAGACCACATAACCATATACTGTTTGCCGAAGCTTTGTTTACGGAAAGGAGCATGCGAACAGAACAGGGTACTATAAATGCATCCATTGTACTGTACATACTCGAAGTGTCCAATCTGAGAAAGAGATAGAGGGCGTTAGACGTGGTGTTCTGGACGACAATAACGCTGTTTGGAAGGAAAACCAAAGCCTTGCACTGGTGACAAACAACGTGTGTCCTGGAAGAATCTTCTCCTAGAAGATGGCGGATTCTTTTCTGTGGGCTGTAAATGAGCTCAAGGTCCTCTTCATTTTCAGCATGGCTTGAATTGTGTATTCATTGGAATAAGTGCACAACCATACTGCGAAGAAGGCAATTAGTTGAACGAAGTTCTGGATGGTTGTAAGGATATGCGATGGGGCAACGCACATGAGGGCGTTGCTGCGGCGCCTTGTTTCGGTACTACTACCAGACTTTAGTCTCTTCCCGGACCCATGAGGAAGAGAGCAAACCGCGAGAAATACTCTTCACCGGTGGCAGGAACGAATGTATAATACCCGAACAGAATATCTGCTTGCTGAGTGGAACTGGACTCTTATCGCGCACTGCGTGTGGAACAATACATGTTACGATACCCAAACAGATATCTGATCATAATGGCTGTGCCTTCTCTACCTGCAAATCTTTCAGGTGTGCTCTTGGTCGATGAAAACACTGGAAAGTAGCTCAGAAGGGTGGAAAGCTCAGTTGTTTTGCATTCGACCAATACAGGTCAACGAACCAGATCGGGTCGTTTGCAAAAGAAACCAGTATCGCAAGAGTGGCCGTGACGTAGTAGGCTCAGATGCTTTTTTCGATTGAGATGCAGGCCATGCGACCATTAAAAATGTAGAGCTGTTGCACATCCAGGAAAGTTGCACTCGTAGGCCATCACAAGCCCTTGCTCGCAAGAGAAACTCTTCTGTCTCTATTAACTAAAACCTATATTCACCTTTATACTCACGTTTGTATCCTGATGCCTTGATAGGAAGTGGCTGTGTTGCTTGCACAATGCCCAGCTGGAATGTCATGTACACGCATAAACATAAAATAACACTACTCTGCCTTTCTTGACGGGATGTCAAGATGTCCTCTGACTAAAAACCCCAAAATATCAAGACACTCGACACAGCACGAAAAATAAGACATGCAACGATCATCTCATCGAGAACTTGCGAATTTTCTCATTCTCGAACCTTCGGTAAGCGCTTCTCCGCAACAATGTCCCTCAGTCATTGTGAACAGTGAACATATATCTTCTTCAAGCCGTAATATATGTACTGTAAAATCACAAACCCCATCGGACAGCAGCAGCAATGATGAGTTCCTCCACACGCGACTGATATCGCGCTGCAAAAGCGGTATACACCAATCCTTTCGTTTTTGACCTGATAGAAGCTCCTCTTCTATACTTTGGACTGTTCACCATCATCGCCTTCTCCACACAACCCACATATCGACAAAACGTTCCCATCATCATAGCCTTCCCCTCAGACTTCACCATATGCCCCGCCGTAGCACAACTACCATACTCATCACACAGCACCCTCGCCCATCGATGAGATTCAAATATGAGCTCCCGAGGCGCGACATGCTTCAGAGCGTTCGCATCAATACATACAGACTCAGGGTCACCTTGCCCGACCAGAGGGAACCCTGGAGACGGAGTCGGTGAGCGTGAGGGAAAGCCCTCATCCGTCGCAGCCACGCTCGGTTCCGGAGAAAGGTCTGGGGATTCAGCCGCCTCTAAATCTGGTGACGGCTCCAGTGACGGCGTCACGACATCCATCGCAGAAGGACTCGGGGACACACTACGCCTCCCCGCACCGCCATGGCTTGGTCTTGGGTTCCTAGGAGGCCTGTTAGGTCCACTTGGAAACTCGGTTGCCTCGTTGATGTTGGAATATTCCTTCTCCGCTTCCTTCGAGACGCAGATGGCTGGGTTGGCCAAATCCGTTTTGGCGCACACTTCACCATTGATGCAGTCGCGCAGGGTTTTGCATGTGGTGAATGTCGGGGGTCGACAGAAGCAGGCAGTGTCGCGACTACGGCAGAGGTCAAAGCCGGTGGCGGATATCTTATAGCAGAGACGACTGTCGAAACAGTCAGTGTCGGCTTTGCATGCGTCGAGAGTTAGACCAGATCGGACGGAAAGGGTGAGAGGCTTCGTGGCGGGGGCTGCATGGAATGCATGATGGTGGGGGGGAAGACGAGGGGAGGCGTATACGAGGGAAAAGAGAAGAGCTGCTAGGAAGAGCATTGAGACGGGGTTAGGGAGTGTGATGAGTAGTGGGAGGCATGACAGGGTGAGTAGTACGGGTAAGGGGGGTCGGCGGTGGATTCCGTGGTGGGTTATGTAGGAGGGACTGAAAAGGGCTCGTGCCAGTTTTGGGCAGGAAAGGTGTCGGAGGCGACATGCCGCAGGTGCGGCTTGTTTAAGGGTTTGCAAACAGCCAAAGGTATGTAGTGGTGTGTGGAATGCCTGTGGAAATACGGAGGTTACGTATGAATCTTGAGGTGTGGGAAGGGTGCCTTGAGAGAGAGGCTGTGGTCAAATGGTTCCCCATAATCGCGCACTCGAACGTACTGCTTGCGGAGCTCCCCCAAGGCGTGTCCAAGAGGAAGGCTTTGTTGTGCACAATCTCCACAGTGCAGTACGTTGACAGGCCTTGTACAAGTTGTATGTGTACGTGTCAGGCCGGGTTTACAGAGTGTGCATTACAGAAAGAAAGGTGACTGAAAAGTGAATTGCTTTTGACGTAGGAGATCACACTGACTTGGCGATTTACAGTTCGGAGGTAGCAACCTTTGATTTTTTTTCTAATTCATCAGCCATCACCGTGGAGATGAAATGCAGTCGGATGCAATTATTTACTTCCTAGCCGTGGCGCAGGAAACTGATTAGTACTGGTTGGCAGACACTCTTGCTCTTTGCCACATGCGAGAAAATGTATTTCAAGATCCCTTGTTCACGCGGGCCAGGAGATGCAGTGCAGAAATGAAGTAGAGTCATCTCACCTGTCTCCGTTGTGCTGTATCTCGTGTAACTGCAGCAGTGGTCAGGCTCGACTACGCCCTCCATACATCTACCGTATCGGCGAGTCTGTGCTTCAAAACTGTAAAAATGGAAGCGAACAGCTCGCTTTCCTATGTATACTCTGCTTGAACGGCCCTCTGAATCAAAGCACTTTTGCATTTTGAAAGATGGGCGCTCTACAGCATGTGGGCAGTTCTATTCTTCTTCTAGCACGGTCCGTTCCCGTTAAACGTAACGGGCGTGCCTTTCAATCCAGTCCGTACACAACTGCACATTGGAACCTGTGAAGCACGTGTTTCAGATGCGGTTGCGATTCAATTGTCGTCTGGTCAATTCCAAGCGATTGACAGCGATACCTACGGCTTTTGCATAATCTGTGGGTCTTCAGGTGCGAGGCGTTCAAATGTTTGAAGGGTGCGAACCTCTTGTTTGGGGCGTACGCAGATTCCTACAGTTTGATATCCTTTCAAAACGGTTTTATGTGCCACGTGGGCACGTAAGACACGTATGAAATACTGTGCGCCTGCTGTATTTGTCGACTGAACCTGCTGCCGCAGCAGTCGATCTAATCCCGCAGCAGTGCTGCGGGATTAGATCGACTCCCTCCATCCGTCCCTGTGCTTCAAAAGATACAGGACACAACCATGACCTACTTCGCCCACACCAGCGAGCGCCTTAGCATATGTTCATCCCCGGAAAATAGGGATCAGGACGCGATGGCAGCCCTCTATTTACAACGTCGTAGTGGCAACTACCAAAAACCGGAAGACGTCATTTGCTTGTCACAGAAGATCCCTACTCCAAATGAACACTTGCAGTTTATCCTATTCATCCCCTCTCTCCGTTTCTCTCTTGACAATCATCTAAAACCTCCTACCCAAATAAATAATCCATTCGTCTCCTCCTATGCCGCTTACAACCCCAACCTTACCGCCACGCCAATGGCCAACTCCTCTGCCTTGGTCCCATACCTCGCCGCGAATGCAGTGAACTGCAGTCCCTCTGTCCTTGATTGGATCCTGACCTTCTTCTTATATCTAGGACTATTCACATGCAACGCGGTCTCCTCACATTGTACCCTTTGACAATAGCTCCTCATCATCATAGCGACCCCTCTCCACACGACCATATGTGCCGCTGTTGCACAGCTCCTCTCACTATCACAAAGAACTTTGGCATAAAAATGCTTCCGGTAGACCATCTGCACATCAGCATTCGTCAACGCCTCGGCGTCCACACAAAGAGGCTCAGGAATGCTTTGCATATCTGCAGGGGTCCCCATTGGCCCCTGCGGCTTCTCATCTTCCGGTTCTGGTGAGCGTTGAGCGAACCTCTCGTCCTTTGTGACGAGGGTAGAAAAGGAGTCGACGGCATCCTCCGAGGCGCAGAACATCGTGGGCGGGACGCTAGTCGTGAAGAATGCGCACACCTCTCCAGCCGGGCAGTCGGCTTTATTCTCACAAGAGCTGCGCTTGTCGGCGAGACAGAAGCAGTTGTCACCAGCCGCGGGACACGGCTCCGTTGAGTCGACGAAGCCGATGAAGCCGATGCGGCACACGCGAGGGGCGATGCAGCGGGCGTCGGTACGACACGGGTCAAACGTGAGGCCGGACGGCATGGCGTGGAGCGCCGGCAGTAGGAGGAGAACGAAGACAAGGATCATGGTGAAGCCGTGGAGTGCGGAAGGAGAGTGCGAAGGCGCGGAGACTGGGAAATGGCTCGGGCAGGGCTGTCTCGAAATGCAGATTGGTAGAAGGGCGGGAGATAGGGCTCACGCTGCCCTATGGTTATTGTTGGGGAATCGCGATTGGATGTGGCGCCGCGGGCGGGCGACGAAAAGTCGAAATGCAGCGGGAGCTCCCTGACCATGAAATTTCAGACAGCATTTGGTTTGCTGCCCTGCTGCCGCTTTGAGTGTCGGATATGATTGGAGGGCGCCGGGGTGTCTCGAGTCTGACGGGAACTACTAGTTCCCGTCAGACCCGTCCCCTGCTGGGGGACAAACACGGCCTGGTATCATATGTTACTCATGTATTGCAGCAGAGTGCGAAGAGAGCGTATGGGTTTTTGCGAAAATGCGGTTGGGCTGGCGGCATGCCGAGACTCCACTGAGCCGTTAACTACATGCCGGTGTGAAAGTTATTCTTGGCAACAGCATTCTTGGCAACAACTGCATGCGGGGGCCGGACACCTGCGGTCAACATCTATCTCTGTTGTACGACATCGCTTTTCTCGCATGCCTTTTCTGGAGGCACTACAGTAAAGTAACAAGTGCTCTTGTCGTGGTTCGAGGTTTGAATTTCCATGCCAACATTGCGCGGATGTGGCTGTGGTTGGGCGGTGTCGCCCCACCCTTTGCGACAAATCCCGCAAAGAGATCTTTCCAAGTGGGGAATGGAAACTGATATGTGCCCGTCGACAACTTCATACATGTGTACATTTTGATCCTCAGCCAGTCACCAAGTGTGCTTTTTCCACTGGTCATACTGTACATGAACTACACATAGAATCAGATCACAAATCTCATCTCTCCTTTCCACAATCTAGTCACCCTTGCATCCTACTACCGTGCTGGGTCCATCCAGCAATTGCCAGATTACCACTTTTTTGACGTGTTCCGCCTCCGCCTTCCTCCCCCGTAAAATCCCAAGCCCGCAATCCCAAGCCTTGAACTAAACCTCCCGATTGCTTAACCTTCCCCTTCGGAGCTGACGGGCCTCGCAATTACTCTCTCTCTCTGCAACCCTCTCCTGCAATGTCCCCACCACCGCAGCCTGCGGAGCGGGAGCTCTTCCCCGGCGTCTATTTCACGCCGCCTCGCTCCGCCGCTCCCCGTCCGACTACCCTACCCTCCACTGACATGCAAGACCTCTCTCTCGACGAGCTGCGCGCCCAGCACGCTGCGCTCCTCTCCTCCGTCGCGAAACTGCGTGCCTCCAACTCCCAAATCCGTCAGTTCGATCCGCACCACCGTGACAGCGAACTCGTCCAGGCCGTCGGGGAGAACATCGAGATCATCGCTAGAAGACTAGCACAGGCCCAGCAACTGCAGAAGAGAATTGATGAGCTTTGCCCCAGCTCGTGTCAGAAGGATGGAGAGGGAGACCGGCAGAGTTCCCACCAGGAGCCCGATCAAGGTTTGTATTTGTAACTCGACGCTTGCTGCAATTGCGAGTCAACACATAACGCTGGCACGTGCTTTGCCGTTTTGGCAAGCGCAGTGACTGCGTGCGCGAAAAAGATTCCAAACCTCTGAAAGCCCATACCACACCGTCAATGTCATGGTCGCGCGCGACAAAATTCCTGTTTACTTTCCTAATCCTGTACACAGGCAGCAATCTCCCTTCCAACGAGCTCTAAAACACCTACGGACGCAGTTTTCGGATTTCTGTGGAAAACGAAGCTGTCACGACCCCATTCCCTGAACTCGTCCTGATCAGCGAAACCCGCATCCGCAGATTTGGGGTCGCGAACCAAATCCGCTCCTCGGCAGCCGCCGCCTCGTAGAACGTGTGCAGCACGAATACCCCATCCTCCGTCATCTCCCACTTCCCCACCGCTGGAATCGTCTCCGCATACCCCACACTTCTCAGCAACCGTCCATTCGCCGGCCCGTCTTTCACCACGGACATCACTGCGGTCCCCTCCATCACCTCGTCCTCGTCCCAGTCCGACTCGCCTTCCCAGCTCATTGCAATTGACACATCCGTCTCCTCCACGGCTATCTCGTGCTGCCGGCACAACGACACAACCTCATCGTCATTTGCCGTCTTTTTTGTGATTGTGATGTCACTTGTGATAGCCTCGAACTGTGCCCACGCAAGATTGTGGCTGGAACGCTGGCTACTCCACTCGCCCACGGATTTCTCGAAGAATTCGTCCACTGTCATGCCTTTGCATGAGAACGCGGGTGCCTTACTTTCCGCTTCCGCATTCGCGACCATCCGCGGAGCAGAGGATGATCTGCTCTTCACGTGTGACACAACTGGGCGCACGGATGTCTGCGACTGCACAAAGCGAGATGTGAATTGGGTCCCAGCATGACCCAAGCGCAATTGTAACGCAGGCACGAAGGCCATTTCGTCGCAGCTTTTCGTATCCTGATGCTTGTCGCTGTTACCTGTTTTCAGAAATCGACGTTGTGACGGCTGAGAAAAACGGATTGGGATAGGTCCGCTCGGCGAAAGAAGACTTTGGGCGATCAAGATGGGATCCCGACAAGACGAGCTCAAAACCTTCAGGCACAGAAAATTTAATTTTCAGGAAATTTCAATATCTGGCAACTGTCGGATCTAGCTGGCAGCAGCACAAACCGTCAAAGGCAAAGTTAGAATTGGCGACAGAGATGTATCGAGATTCTGGTGCGAAATCTGACACAAAAGAAGTGCAGCAAGAGTAGTTGTGATGCTCGGGTGCCATATGTCTCTTTTTCGCAAGTCGTCTCGAGAGCGAAGAAGAGAAATGCTAATGAAACTGGAGCTCACCCTTCATGCTTCAACCCATCGCTTAATATTGTGAATAGTGTGCTGAACATGCGTTTCTGCACAGTAACCCGTGGAAGTGGGTGGGTGCTAAGTTCATATCCATCGGTATACTACAGCAAAATACAATTTATTTTATGCATGGAAGTATCCCCAGCAAGCTGTGCTCCTAAAATGCAGCAGTGTCCTTCTGACTGCAGGCCGGGGGTTGTACAACGACCGATTTTTGTGATCTCACAAGCTGGTACATGCCTCTGTAGTCCTGTGTACGCCACACCATAAGGTACATATTCTATTACACACAAGCAGGCTTTTCCATCACATACATCCGAGCAGTAGGCACAGGACGTTCTCACGCCGCGATACCACGTCACCCAAATACCATTACCGTCCCAACCGAGGCGTGTCCGAAACAGAAAGAGCTCTCGATCATCGACTTATTGTAACTGCATTCCTAAACCGTAATCAAGTTGCTTTCAAGCAAAAAGTTAGGCTGCACGTTGGTTCTTGTGGAAAAGATTGAGTGAGCCGTGGAAACGGAACCCCTTTCCAAACATCAAAACTTGCCTTCTGTGTTCACGGTTCGGAGCAAGCTTGCCAAAATTTGCCCGATGTGTGCTGTCCGCGATGTTGTGGCACAAGTCTCGTCCACGCGAGTCGATAACAGTAATAGAGTCAATCATGAAGTGGAAAGTGAATCAAAGACTTGATTATCCAAACCAATATGTTCATTCGGGGTCGTCTGTCTGCCGCCGTTCCCGTATTTCTTCCCAATTTACAACAATAAACCCAGAAAATACCATCGTTACCCCTATCAAATAAGGAAGACTGAAATGGTCGCCTCGAAACAAGATGTCCGCGATAACAGACAGCGGCACAGAAAGCGAGAGCGCGAGTGTCCCAATCATGGGCGTAGTGAGGACAACTGACTTTGCCCACAGAAAATCGGATAGAACGGTCCCTATTAATGCGTTTGCAAACAGGATGCCTGCGAGTTTGGGCGTTGGGAGCTCAAAACGCTCGAGATTTGTCCAGTGAAGCAAAAAGAGCCCAGGTATTCCTCCAATCAATACAGCAGCTCCCATGAACGAGAAGAGCATGGAAATATCGATTGCTCCTGGTGGACCGGATTTAGATTTGAGAAGGATTGTGTACACTGCGTATATGAGTGCGGAGACGACATTGACCATGTCTCCTACAAAATTACGATCCCCTTGCGTTTTTTTCTTGTCGAAGGAGCATATGATAGCGACCCCAGCAATGGTCGCAATTGCTGCAAAGAGCTTGCGTATGGAGAAGCGCTCCACTTTCATGAAGGCGCCCAGAATTAATGTAAAAAGCCCGGAGATCGTAGAGATCGTCGAAGTCGATGCCACGGTAGTCATACTCAGCCCCAGGGTAAATATCCAGTCTGATAGGAAGAAGAGCGGTGAAATAACCAACGCCATGCGCAAGACCTGTCCAGCGCTAAAGATGATGGCATGATTGTCTTCGGAGCCCGGGTCTTCAATATCGAATTGCAACAGTTCAGGTCCCTTATCACCATCAGAATCCTCATCGTTGAGCACCGGAGGACTTGGTGCCCCGTCTGACGACAACGGGGATATGGCCTCGGAGTCAAGCATGGTGCCTGGCGCGGTGTGATCAATATGGCCTGGTGGCTTGTAGAGCTTTGCGCGCCATGAGGGACGGAGAAATCCCAGAAGGCATAGCACGAAAGTGGACAACGACACGTACGTGATAAAATAGGGCTGTGGATGACTCCTTTCTGACACAGTGTCTCCGCTCATGAGAATCTGGACCAACTCCGACGAGCCGACCCAGATGAAGGCCACGCATACTGCGAGTGTGACACCGATGGCATGTTGACGCGCCGACGGAACATGTGGACCGGCTGCCGAAGAAAGCATGCCGTTAGCCTCGGCGATATTTGTCTTAACGATTGCTAGACTCGTCGAGTCAGCTACTACAGCCTGTCGAGGAGTTGTCTGGACTTGGACGACTTTACCAACAGCAACTTTGACAAGTGAAGTTGAAAATTGAATTTTTTAGTATCTTCTCGTAACCTCATTGGTTGATTTTCGACTCTGTGGGAAGACTGACGCTATCGCCACGCACCTCTTCGCCACAACAGGTCATATAAGTGTGCAGTCTGCTGCTGCTCCTGCCTAATTGTCGCCCTCTCAGTGCATCAATGTTGATGTGCACCTGTGCGACCCTTGGCATGAAAGTATCACAACCTACAGCGCCTTTGCATTGTTTTGGGTGATGATATTACAGTACTGCGCCGCATCATCTACAAAAAAATGCTCTAAAGTCAATCCTCGATAAAAGACGAAGCCGAATACGACGAAAACGAATACGACGAAAACGACGACGACGATGACGACGACGACGACACCAAGCCCCAGCCCATTGCCGGCAAGAAGCGCAAACAGGAGCTCCATCGCAGACACTCCAAGCGCTACAGAGACAACCTCGGCGAGCTCTTCCAGAACCTCGAGCAGCTTCTCCCAAAGGTCGTCCCAGGTTGCACACTCAAAACGAAACGCCAGATCCTCGCAAATAGCGTCCACGCAGTCAAGAGACTCCGAACAGAGATGTCCGCACTGGAAATGCATTTTGTTTTATCAAGCCCGGCGAATCGAATAAAGTGGGTCGAGGACACCGTTCAGGCCGCCACTTGCTTCCAGGCTGCTACTAAGCCTTTCATGAGTCTTCTAGTAGGTATGCAACGTGGGAAGCATTCCGAGCTGTGGTGTCGCTACGAGGTCAATTTGCTTCCGGATGGCACTGACAGCGGCGCTCCCGTCATCAACCCCACCAACACCGTCTACGACCTTGGCCCGTTGTCCTCGAAAAAGTTTCCTCAAGTTGGACATAACCGCGTCTGTGCATGACATCACAGCTTCCACTATTCCGAAAGTGTTCAGAATGTTTTCGAAAATATCTCACATGGCCACCTTTGTCAATGACGATAATAGTATAGTCGGCCGCACTGCGTCCAAGTTGTCGCCCGAGTGGATCGACTTGAGAGATCCCGAGTCTTGTCATGGGTTCAAGAGAGGAGAGGCCGCCAGACAGTGTGGGTTCACGGCCTGCTTTGCACTCCCGTTTCTCGTCAGAGGACATGTATTCGCTTCCATTCTTTTTTATGATGACCAACAGCGCTCCGATGTCCGCCCGGATATTAACATTGCACAGGATATTGCAAGTTGTCTTGGAAATTGTTATGGCGCATCGGCTGCCTAAAGTGCAGATTAGCTTCCCACAGCGTAGAGAAATTTTATTGGAGGTGCTACGGAAAGAACATGTTTTATGAGTTCAGCGCGCGCAGTGGATATCATGAGGACCGCCACCGCAGGATGCACACAGCCGGATACAGAAAGGGAACCGTGAAAGCAGCCAAGGGCCCCTAGGGTGGAAGGGAGCACTTCTGATCGTCTTCAGCCACCCAAACAGAATAGTCCATCAAATCACAGCGAATAGCCTCTCTCCCTTGATACCATGAAGTCGAATCTGTGGGCCCCAGGTTGTCCCTCGCGACATCCAAAATCAAAGGCCGAAGATCAGCCCCAACACCTTGGTGCTCTGGCTTCATTTCAAGCACGCTCTTCTTGCGCCCACGCCTACGAAATTCATGAACGGGGCTATGGGTTGTCGTAATTGTTGGAAAACGGGAGAGAAGAATGGCTTCCGCTTAAAGAACTGATAAGCATAAAGAGAGATGATTGTATATGCCTTGTTGGCGGCGGATGTAGGTTAGCTTCCATGTGTCCAAAGGCACTAGATCCGCACGATTCACATGCACATGCGACGCTAACGGCTCCGAAAAACGAACCCTCCGCCTCCCACGGCTCTTTCAAATATCAGAAGCGACTCTATCGAATAGCCGGGAGGCACTTGTAGAGGGCGGTAAAGAGATTCTCTTCTTGCCGTAAGTGAGCATGTGTAACTCAGGCAAAGATTTTTTTGCGATTCAGTGCTTCGAGCGATGTTCTGACGACAAAACGCGGACGGTGTGAAAGCGACAACAGCGGAATGTACTTGGCCGTTGGCGTGAGGAGGAAGACACTGCCTTTTTGATCGTTTATTCAAGACAATTTCAATAGTGTCTCCAACCGAAGGGCTGCCAAGTTGATGAGCAAGAGTCGCTTCTAGTTGTAGCTTCAAAGTGTTGATGGCATGTTGACGCCCCGATGGAACATGTGGACCGGCTGCCGAAGAAGGCATGCCGTTAGCCTCGGCGATATTTGTCTTAAGGCCATCTCCACCGCGCACGCAGTTCTATTTTGAGCAGGCAGACGTTAATTTCCGAGTGCATGCAGCTAGATGTGACGTCAGAATGGTGAGATACTGTAGAGAGAAAGACACCAACATAGAGCAGGCAGTACTGTACGAGTAGTGTTGGCAGGTGGACGGAGCGTTTTGGAGCATCTGGAAGGGGAAGACTAAAAATTACCAAATTGCCCCCGATTACCAAATTGCCCCCGATTACCAAATTGCCCCCGATTACCAAATTGCCCCTTTCAGGTACCCTCACCGCGCACATCTATTTAGAGCACCCCTACTGGTTTAGTTATATTTGGAGGTTAAATATGAGAAATTTAGCGTTTGGAGATAGCGATTCTAGGCGCAACACTACCGGTTAGAGCGCAAATTCAAACGTGTTGTGCAGTGATTGGCTCTTTCGGCAGCCGTGGTCATCCAGCACGAGGGATGGTAGTGGTGGTGCTGTACGGATATACAGTGGTGGAAAAAATTATAAAGCACCCCCAAAAACGGGCATTGCTGGACAGAGAAAAGCGCGTGTTTAAAAAAGAGCTTCGTAGCCCCTCAGAAATGGACCGGGAAAAACGAATCTGTAAACGGTTTTATACAGTACAGCCAATATTTTGCATTACAGTCCAAAATCAAATTGACAGGTGGTAATATATATAAAGCACCACACCCCAACAACACCACACGGACAAGTTGTTCAGTGTTTGGCGGGAGAAAGGCAACACCAGCTCTTCAAATAGTACCACGAACACCCCAGGTCCCTTTTCCATCCCTCTTACTGCTCGAAGACATGCCTCGCGGTCGGTCACTCAGCGCTGAAGAGCGAGGAAAACTTTTGGCGTTCCACCAAGCCAAATGGTCCCAATCTCGCATCGCGAAGGAGCTAAAGCGAAGTCGGGCGGCCGTGCAAAACTTTCTCCGCAACCCAGAAGCCCATGGGTCAAAAAAACGAGCTGGAAGACCAAGAAAGCTCACAGTCGCAGGTAGACGCATGCTCCTTCGTGAAGCATCCAAGGGTATTTTAGGGTCTAGAGAGCTTTCTCAGGATCTACAACTGCCTGTGCAAGCAAGACGCGTGCGGCAGATACTGAACCAACACCCAACGTTGACGTATAAAAAGATTAAGAGAGTTCCGCAAATGCTTATTCATCACAAGACTGCGCGCGTCGCCTGGGCGACCGAAAAGGTTACCTGGACCAATCCAGACTGGAACAACGTCGTCTGGAGTGACGAAAAGAAGTTCAATTTGGACGGCCCGGACGGTTTTGCCTGTTGCTGGCATGATCTAAGACGTGAAGATCTGATTTTTTCGAAGCGCCAGCAAGGGGGCGGCTCATTAATGGTTTGGGGAGTCTTCGCAGGGGGGAAAAGTGTGAACTGGCGGTTTTGGAGGGCAAACAAACAATTAAGTACATTGGGACGCTCGAGAGCTTCCTGTTGCCGTTTGCGGACCAAGAACTGGGACCGAGCTGGGTCTTTCAGCAAGATGGGGCATCGATACACCGCGCTCATATCGTGAGGGAATGGTTTAATGAGGAGGATATGGTGGTTCTGGACTGGCCAGCTAAGTCTCCTGACTTAAACCCCATCGAAAACCTCTGGGGAATTCTGGCTCGGAAGGTGTACGAGCATCGACGTCAGTTTCGAGGGGTTGAAGAGCTCAAAGAGTGCATCTTGTCTTCTTGGGATGCCATACCAGCTCAAACGCTCCACAAATTAGTGGGTTCAATGCAGAAGCGTTGTTTTGACGTTGTTAAAAGCAACGGACGGGCAACGAAGTATTAGAGACCCCATGCAGAGCACAATAAGACACGCTGCATTATAAAAATTTCCACTTGTCAAATGACTATTGAACTGTAATGCAAAATATAGTGCCGACTGTATAAAACTGGTTACAGATTCGTTTTTCACGGTCCTTTTCTGAGGGGCGGCAAAGCTCTTTTTTAAACACTCGCTTTTCTCTGTCCAGCAATGCCCGTTTTTGGGGGGTGCTTTATAATTTTTTCCACCACTGTACTGTGGGGGACGTCTCCGGTTCCCATCTCCTCAAGCCCCACATGACACCATCATGCCCTGGAAGAAGGGCAGGGAGGAGAGGAGGAGGAAAGGGAGAAGGGAAGGCGTCAGGAAGAATGCAGGAGGGTGGCAGTGGCGGGTAAATTCAGCTTGGGATGGGGGTGTTGGGGGTGTTCCCTGTGCACAGAGAACATTGCTCGCACCAAGTCAATAGAATTGGCGTGGAATTTTGGTAATTTTTCCAAGTGGCGCAATTCTACTCGCATCTCTATTTGCGCAAAATGAGTAAATCTGTCTCCATCCGGTAGGCTGCTTGGAGATAGATTTACTCAAAATGGTAAATTTTTTAGAGATACTCACTCCACTAGTGTCTAGGTGACAAATGGCCTCATATGAGGTCACTTTTCAACTTAAATTTTCTCGACTTGTGCTACCTGAACAAAATGGAAAAAGATACTCTCGCCACCGCAGGTGACTTCTGCGCTGTGGAAGGGTGGAGCTTGGTGAGATCTGCACGTCCTTTCCAGGCTTTTTGAGAATACCTAAAGAAGAAGCTTTTTTAAAGAACATCAAAACGTTTTTTGTTGATATCTTCGAAATCAAAACGCCTGTTTAAAATATCATCCAATTGTTGAAACTACCCTTCATGCTGGGGATAATTGGATAATATATAATAATGGGTGATGTTTTGCAGGAAGCTATTGCCGAGGGAATATTGGTTAAAGAAATGGTGTCTAAACTGATTTTATAAAATTTCGATTTAATGTATATTTGCGCAAAATGAGTAAATCTGTCTCCATCCGGTAGGCTGCTTGGAGATAGATTTACTCAAAATGGTAAATTTTTTAGAGATACTCACTCCACTAGTGTCTAGGTGACAAATGGCCTCATATGAGGTCACTTTTCAACTTAAATTTTCTCGACTTGTGCTACCTGAACAAAATGGAAAAAGATACTCTCGCCACCGCAGGTGACTTCTGCGCTGTGGAAGGGTGGAGCTTGGTGAGATCTGCACGTCCTTTCCAGGCTTTTTGAGAATACCTAAAGAAGAAGCTTTTTTAAAGAACATCAAAACGTTTTTTTGTTGATATCTTCGAAATCAAAACGCCTGTTTAAAATATCATCCAATTGTTGAAACTACCCTTCATGCTGGGGATAATTGGATAATATATAATAATGGGTGCTATTTGGACAGGGGGTGAGGTACTGACAAGTGGCAAGTTCGTGGGACAATCACCCTTATGTTATTATTAATTTAAAGGTAGACCCTTTTAAAAATTCAAATCAGCGTGCTGATATAACAACAATGCACATACCTTACATTGGTTCTTATTGTAAAAGTACATAAAATAAAGGCACTGCAAACCTCAATTTTACGATCAAAGTCGAGACTCATACAGTCTCAATATGCCTCCGACGATGACAAAGCTCACCAAGCTTGCCATAACACGCAACCACCGAGACAGAAAGGCAACCCAAGCCGGTAACAAAGCTCTCAATCTCCTCCAGTCCACCACCCTTCCAACTTCGAAAATCGCGTCCCTCTGCGGCCTCTCTTGCGGCACCTGCCGCCGCATCAAGCTTCATCACCAATCAGGAAGCGCGTCAGCCCTCCGCAAAATAATGAACCCATCTGCCAACCGTGCGGGGGCGATACCGCATCTGTCACAACAACAAGAGTCCATGATCGCCGAGCGTCTTGTAGTATAACGACGGACGCGCGGGCGGGGAGATTATGAACAGTGCGGCCGTGCACGGTGGACACGTGGGCGGGTGTGCCCACGTGTAGGGAGCGCGCGCGTGCCGAGCGGTCGTAATCTGGCGTACGTGTACAGTAGTGCACGTGTCGGCGAAGCGGTAGTCTGCTAGTATTACGCGTGTACGCTAGCACACGTGGCATCCGTGCGGTAGTCTGTAAGCAGCGCGTGTGTACAGTAGTACACACGTGTAGTAGC